CCAAAGTAGATGTACGTGTGTAAAAACGGGAACTTTTTTCTTGAACTCGGGAACCTGAGGGGGGGGGGGCCTTCCATTCTCCACTTGACTTTCTACATCGAATCACAACCGACCGTTGCGACGCACGCCAAGAACCACTCACATTGACAATGGGGGGCCGGCTGGAGTCCGGCTTACGCGGCTTTTCACAGCAACTGGGGAATGAAGTCACTGGTGTTGCGCTTTTCTCGCTAAGACAATTACTACTGTACAATTTATTACCTCACCTTCTTGGATGGTTCTCATCATCATCATCATCATCATCGTTGCTGTTGTTGCTATTTTGGATCTTTGGTTAGGGGTTGGAGTAGGGTTGGTAGTGAAGGTACTGTACCTACGGAGTTGGACTCGGGATTTTGGGTGATACTGTACGGTGCGAAATGATCGTGATGGATGGGATGGGTTAATTGTGTTAGGGGTGCTGGCTGCGGTTATGGTACTCCGTACCTAGGTACCCATGGACCATGCCGGACAATAGGGTTGTTCTCCTAAGTCATTCTCGAGGCTTATCGATAAGATATACCAGTGCTTGTATACTCGCTTGTATATTGTAGATATCGCATGTAGATGTAGATGGAGGTTTTATCAACTCGAACACACCGCGATAGGAGAATACATTATCTGGGTTCATGTCTTATTCGCCAGGCGAGAGAGCCAGTCGAGATATATTTTATTTGTACAGTACTCTTCTATGAGTATTGATCCTCCATGTAAAGGAATAATGTCTTACACATGGGTTGACAACAGGAAGGACGAACGGAAGAATAACTTGGACGGCAACTACAATTTCTGCTGCAGTTATCAATGGGTGGCCAGGCAGATAACTGAAACCCTGCCCCTACATTCTCTTCGTAAGTTGATGGCCTTTTGTATATGATATGGCTAGTTAACGCCAGAGCCGGAGCCAGAGCCGGAGCCAGCTGGAGTATAGACTTAAGGGCAGGGCACCCTTGCCACACAGGTAGCTCTAACTTACTAGATCCCTGACTTTCTTGCGTAAATTTGGACTCCTGCAAGTAGAGGCAGTTTGCTTTTGACATTTGGAGTTGGCACGAACGCACTTGCATTGAAGGAGGATTGGACAGACAGTAGTATGGATTGGATATCCAGTCATAGAGATATAACCAAGGGCTGCCTGCAACCTCTTTTATATCAGGGGCCTTAGGGTGCTTTCTAGGCTGAGGGGAGCAATGATCGAGTTCTTGTTAGATGATCACTATCCGCACCTCTGACCGTAGAGCTCCCACTCACGGCCTTTCCTGACTATTTTGCGTATGAGGATGGAAATTCAACCCTGCTTACGATACTTCTGCACGTTGCCTGATATCTGCGGCACGGACAGGCAGTGTGTGCCAACGACATTCAACTGAGTATACGCATCTACCGCTCAACTGCCTTGTGACTGGGGATATAAGTCTTGCATGTACCTATTCAATGCATGGCATCAACTCCTGACCGAAGAAAGAACGTTGTAGAAGGTCCATCGCTTGGAATTGGTCCCATTATCTCGATATCATGATTACGAACCAGCAGGTATAACAAATCCATGATGCTAGCACGGTATTCTCCCATCTCAAATCCCAGTAAACAGGCGCACTCATCAATCATCATCGCATCATATCCTCATATTCCTCGTTTCCCATTCAAATCCACCATATTCCATGCATGTGAACCGGCATACCTCCCACTCTCGATGGAACCATTCAAATCAAACCACAGTGTTGGGAGCATCTCATCCATAAAACCAATACTCCGCCGCATACTCCACCCCGAACTCCCCCTCGTGCGCCGCGCAAGTCGCCGGACTCATCCCTCCCGCCGTGTGGACACGGTATATCTCCTGAAGAAGGGGCATTCGCCCAGTTAGCATATCTCTGCCCCCTATACACCCATCCGTTTCTGGGGTTGGATGAGCAAGGAAGGAAGAAGAAGAAGAAGAACGAACATTGATACCAGATCCCTCCACCGCAACCATCTTCAACCAGGGCACATCATCACCTCCACTACCAGGGGCACTACCAGGGGCATTCACACTCTCCACCTTCTTGGCCTTGACCCAGTTGGACTCGTATCTTCCGCCGTGTTCTCCGAAGGTCGCGGGGCGGAGATCGAAGACGGGCATTGCTGCGGCTGCTGTGGTCGAGGTGGTGGAAGACGATTGGGAGGGTGAGAAGTAATGCTCCCCGATGATTGCGGACTGGGACAGCATCACGGCGTAGAAGGCCAGGACTTCCTGCGGGATGGCCCGGGTGAACCCTGGGAGGGCGTGGAGGAATCGCAGCGCATGGTCCTTCGGGGTTGCGGCGAGGCAGGAGATGTCGTAGAGCGTGGCGACAGCGCCGGTGGCGATGGGGGTCGCAGAGGCATTCTTGGGGGTGTTGTCCTTCGAGGTGGTCGGGCAGGTGTAGTTCTGCGTGCCGCGGCCGAGGGCGATGAATTTGAGGGAGAGGTGGGCGGAGGGGGGGCTGAGGTGCGCTGCTGCTGCTGCTGCTGCTTCCTCGTGTCCTCGTTTGGGGAATCCTGCTGAGCGTTTGCTGGTGGTTTGGTTGATGGAAACAACCTCGAGGGGGCACTTGGTTAGGCGCAGCGAGGAGAGGGCGTGGGAGAGGGAGATGAAGCTGGTTGCTAGGTGGACGGCGTTCGGTGGGTGAAGTTCGATTTCGGTTTCTGTTTCGGTGGTGCGAGGGGAGGAGAAGGGGACTGCGGCGGTGAAGCTAAGGATGCTGAGGAGGATGAGGAGGGTCTTGAGGAGGGACTCGAGGAGGCGCATCTTGGTGGTTTTGTCTTCGGAATGATGATGTCTTTGGATTGAGTGTGGATGCAGAGGGAGGTGTAGAGGGACTTTCGGGTGGTAGAGATGATGAGACCTGAGAGATGAGATGAGTTGACATGATATCAGACAATTGCCAGGAGGGTGTTACTCTTATTATGCTATGGTCACTTGCTCTACAGTAAATGTGCCAATGTTCACCTCCCACAGCAGCTGACCTCTGCCCCTCTCTTGTTCCTGCAGCAGAGCAGCATCTCCGTGCCAGGTTGGCATCCTAAGTATGCCTCGCCAAATATAGAATGTTGCGGCGAAGCAGAAGGCATGAGGGTAGTGAAGTTATCCAACATCTACAACTACCAAAGATGCCACATCACTGCTACTGATCCTTCAGCAGGGCACAGCTCGTTATCAATAGCTCCAACACGCCCTCAACTGTGCCACAATAGAAGGCAATGGCGAGAGCCTGGCGAGTCGAATGCATGATATGGCATAGAAGCGAGGCCAAGGCCTAATGAGACGGAGATAGAACCCGCAAGGTTTCGACGAAGCGCCGCACCGCAGATATGCACTCCTGGCGAGCCAAGTTGGCCAGGCAGAATGTTCCTATTTGCTGGCTATTTCTTTAAGGTTCTTGGGTATCTCAAAGCTGCCGTCGGGTTGGTTCATGCTCGCTCTTATCGAGACAAATATACTGCTAAGCGCCTGGAGGGTCGCCAAGTATCAGGACGCCACACCATCATCTAGTCTTTTTCCTCTTTTACCTTATGAGAAAGGAAGATTGAAATATCCTCCTTAATCATGAACCCGCTTGTCTTTAGCGATTCTCACCTCGCTCGACCGATTGCATTGGGGTAGCAGACAACCAACACCAGCACAAATCTAATGCCTTTAACCAGAAACAGGACAAATTTCATCACAAGCACTCAACCACAAAGACACACTACTCCAAGCTACAGCTACGGAGAAGACCTCGAGAGTCCATCAAGCGCCATCCAATGTCTTGTCCCATCTGTCCCCAGAACTCAACGAGGTGCTTCGCTGCACCATTGTTCACTTTACACCTATATCACACCCTGGCGGATTATCTACACATCCAAACACAACGAATATATGGAGGATACCGCGAACAAGGCCTTTACCACAGGTATACTATGATTGCAAGAACCTTTGGGAAAGGAGAGAACTAAGCCCATCTACGCGTCCTCCACCAAGACAAACTTCACATCACCCTAACCGAGCTACTAGTAAATACATCTAGACACCTACCGTTCCCGCGACCCCGAACCAACCAGAGAGCATTCATGAACTTGCATGGCACTGACAACCCTCGAGACGGATATCTGCTTCATTCAAAGCCGAAAACGGTGTGTCTGTTTGATCCACCCCGAGTCAAGAGAAGCTTACCCCTTTCCCCGTTGGGCACATCCCAAACCACAGATCCGGATAGAAAGGTTCATCCTCTGACAGACTTGGACAATATGACATCTGAGACACGGCCTACGGTCAACACAGAACATGCCGTCCAGACGCGAGCCGTTATTGTTCTAAGACACAAGTTAACCACCCTGAAGTAATCGTCCGCCCGAAAGAAGCTGACGTAGTCTGGGTTTTAGCGTTAATACTACTACGTATCTTACAGTGCAAGAGAAAATATACCTACAAATCTGAGATCGAGAAACGGTTAGACTAACATCAGAATTAGCAGGAGTGGAGAGCACTTATACTATGTAAATCAAAAACCGTTGGGAGATCCAAAAAATTCCTCCGATCTGTGTTGGTGATTGGGGGGGATGGAAAAGAGAATGAAACATGTGGGAATATGAAAGTGGGACCGGACTGTCTTCGATATAATGTACTATGTGTATTGAGCGGACGCAGAACATTCCTCGGATTAAGATTAAATCTCGCAGGTGGTGGGTGGTGTTTCAGATTGAGATTACTTGGTTGACGCGTCGAGTGAGGGCTTGTGTATAAGATTGATTAAATGAGGGATATTCGAGACAGGGTCGGGAGTGCCCAGTTCGAGGCGTGCTGGGGTTGTTTGAGATTTTGCAACTATGGGGTTGCATGATAAATGGTCGGTTTAGTGGTGTATGTACAGTGCGTGTGTACAGTATGTATGGCTGAGCTACAGCGTTGAGAATAGTCGTTCCTATTCTGCAAAAGTTGGGAGGATAGGCACCAGGCTGCTAGCAAAGCACAGAATTCTATTGTATTGCAATTACTTCCTCCCGCCAAGCAAGATTCTGCAGTATTTTGATAATATCAACTGTAGTGTTTCATCAAGTACGAATGTAGTATACCTAGGAACGCCGAGCAGATGGGATATGTGCATTTGAAAAAGGGAAAAGTGCGACAGCGCCAGGCAGTCAACAAAACGTTTATTATGGGGTATGTCTAACGGATCCGGTCCAGCTTGGCACGGTTCATGGCGATTTGCTCGTCGACAAAGTCGCTCTGGAAGGTTTGTTAGCCTCACGTTCAGGATCCATAAGCCAGAGATTCTTACCTTGCCCGTGATACGTTCCAAGTGACGGTTTTGCTCGTCCAGCTCCCGGCCCGTGGCTTTGGCGAGACCGTTCAGACGGCTTGCGGCACCGCCAAGCAGGTCCAGGTTCTGCTCGATCTCGTTCTCCATCGCCTCGTCCTCACTATCCGCCTCGAACTGATACTTGGCACGGTCGGCGACGTTGGTCCGGCCCCGCGTGGTCTGCTTGCTCGCCTCGCGGTCGATCTCCCGGAACGTGCGCTCCATCCGCTGGTTGGTCTTGAAGGCCTCGTTCCGCGTGCCGTCGCGGGTCTCCCGTTCCTGTCGGTGGGTGTCCAGGATCCGCTCGTCGCGCTCGCGCCGCCGCCGGGCGCTGGTGAAGGGGTTGGAGACGTGCACCGCGAACATGCTCTTGTTGAGGGTCTTGAGCTCCTTGGCCTTCTCCTCGGCAATTCGGCCCTCGATGGTCGCCACGTCCAAGCTCCGCTCCGCATCATGGATGCGTTCGCCCTGCGCGCCCAACCGAGCCAGCGTCTCCCGACCGGTCTCCTCCGCCTGCGCCGCAATGCGGAGCGCGTTGCGGGTCGAAGCCACATCCCCCTGCTTGATGAAGCGGATATCCTGTTTGATCGTCTGGATCTCCTCCTCCTCCTCTTCCTCCGCGGTCAGATGCCGTTCCTGGTAGGTCGATGTGTTGTAGTCGTTACTGCCGCCGCCGTAGGCCGCACCGCCCTCCGAGTAGGGCGGCGGGGGACCGCCGGCCTGAGGCTGCTGCTGCTCTGCTCGTTCCCTTGCTCCTCCGAAAAGTGCATCTCTGTTGGCATCCGCGGCGGCGGAGTCGTTGGGATCGGTGCTGCCTAGCCCTCCGTAGCCACCGGGGCCGTACCGGGAGGCTGCTGGCGACGCTCCACTGTTGGCGCTGCCCCCGAAGCGATCCGATCCATATCCACCCTGGTTTCCATATCGGTTCGGCGCATAGCCTTGTTTATTGTCTCCGGGGATGCTGGCGGGACCAGGGGCCGGAGCGGCGGGTTGCTCCCCAGCTGGAAGAGGGGCGACGCCAGCTTGGATCTTGGCTTTCGTGTAGGGATCAGTGGGGATGGGTTTGGCATAGGGGTTGGCCGGAGGTGCTGGGCTCTTGCTCTTCGATCGGGAGCCGAACAGCGCCAGGCGGTTGGAGGAATCGTCCTCGTCCCCGGACTTTTTGAAGCCGAACCTGCCCATGGCGGTTGATCTGTGGTCGAGTGGGTTTAAGGGTAAGAATGTCAATTTGTCGGAACGGCCAGCAGGTGGTAGAAACCAGATTCTCAAAAAGGACAGATAATGGTAGAGTAAGAGGAAATTTTAGGGAAAAGAAGTAAAGGAGATAGATGGATGTGAGAGGGGCGAAAGACAGGCAGGCAACGTTCAGGGGAGCAGCAAGCCTCAGGCACTATAATTGGAATGATCGGAATGGGGGGGTGGAGGGGGGGGAAAGGCGGAGGGTAATCTCATTACATTGGTGATAGCTGCCATTCAGAAGGATAAAGGCTGTTATGACGGTCTCAGTACCAGAGAGCCGTGACAGGCTGTGTTTCCACTAAGCCTACAATGGTTAGTGCAGTGGCTGGACCCTTCCAAGCCTCCTTCCAAACCAACCAAACCAACCAAACCAAACCATCGCCCGCCGGAAACGTCCGCGCGCGTATCTCCGACTGAATCAACTGAACCAACTATCAACCAACTAACCAACTTGACCATCTTAACGATCTTGACGAATTTCCTCCTTTCCAGTGATGCTCATTGGCAGTCATGGCGCCGTATTCGGGGTCTGATGCAGACTACTTCAAGGACAAGGCGCGTAGGGATCTGTTGACCCTCCTCGAAGGCGTGAGTAAGGCTTGCTTCTACCTCTGGTTGCCCGTGTACATCAGCTGAATCCTTCGGTGCAGGTACGCGGTAAGAAGAACCTCATCGTCAGTCAAGACCTGGCTGGTCCAGTCGGACTGTTCGTCAAGTTCTCTTTGCTCCAAGAGTACGGTGTAGATCGCGTCTTCCTCCTGGAAAATGGCAATGTGGACTCTTCTCAACGCAATGTCGTCTTCTTAGCGAACGCTGAGAAGCTTGCTCAAGTGCGGGCTGTGGCAGGTACGTCGATTTCTTCCTGTTTACCACCCTCAGCACGCCTTCTTCGTAAGATAAGCTGGATATCACTCCTTCTACCCAGGAGAGTCTTGCTTGGGACAGACTGTAAAGCGCGCAGACTCCCCTCTACTCTACGTAGCCAGTCACGCGCTCCCAATATCAACCAGTTTTGAAGATACCAGCTCATTCATAGGCTTTCTCTCTCTTACTTTTCTGATTGAAGGTCATCAGTATGAGCTAACATGCCTCTAGAACAGGTCAAGCGCCTCCAGCGCAATGGCAGCATTGAACATGAGATCTCTATTTTCTGGGTTCCAAGACGGACACTTGTTAGCAACACAATCCTCGAGGAAGCGGGCATAATCGGAGACGTGAACATCGCCGAATTCCCGCTGTATTTCATGCCACTGGAACAGGATGTCCTGTCTCTGGAGATGGAGGACGCCTTTATTGATCTCTACCTGGTAAGCTTGCCCGGTGCAGCATGTTCCCCAAAACGCAAGTAACCAACATCCATGTAGCACAAAGATCCAGGATGCATCTTCCACTCCGCGAAGGCCCTGATGGACATCCAGCAGAGGCACGGTTACTTTCCTCGGATTATCGGCAAGGGTGACCATGCAAGGCGACTGGCCGACCTGCTTCTCCGAATGAGAAAGGAGCTGGACGCTGAAGAGAGCTCCGGGCTCGCCGGAGTGTCAGCCCGCGGTCTATTGCCCAGCGCAAGCACAGAGAGCCTCATCATCATCGACCGCGAAGTGGACTTTGGCACCCCCCTCCTCACTCAACTGACCTACGAAGGCCTCATCGACGAGACAGTCGGCATCAAGAACAACCAAGCCGATATCGACACCTCTATCATCGGCGGGGCGGCTACTGTTCCGCAAGCGCAGGAATCCTCCAAAGGCCCGCAACAGCCCTCGTCCTCCAAGCAGCACCAGAAGCGCAAGATCCAACTTGACTCATCAGATCAGCTCTTCAGCCAACTGCGGGACGCCAACTTCGCCATTGTCGGCGACATCCTCAACAAAGTCGCGCGGCGCCTCGAGAGCGACTATGAAAGCCGCCACTCGGCCAAGACCACGACGGAGCTGCGCGAGTTCGTCAACAAACTCCCCTCCTACCAGCTCGAGCACCAGAGCCTGCGCGTGCACACCAACCTCGCCGAGGAGATCATGCGCACCACCCGCGCCGACATCTTCCGCAAGCTCCTGGAAGTGCAGCAGAACTACGCCGCAGGCTCCGACCCGACCTACCACCACGACGCGGTGGAGGAGCTCATCGCCCGCGACGTCGCCCTGCCCGCCGTCCTGCGCCTCCTGTGCCTCGAATCCTGCATGTCCGGCGGTCTGCGGCCGCGGGACCTTGAGAATTTCAAGCGCCAGATCGTCCAAGCCTACGGCCACCAGCACATCCTGACCTTCTGCGCCCTCGAGAAGATGCAACTCCTTCAGCCCCGCGCCTCCACCAATCCCACCTCCCTCCTCCTTCCCACTACCACCACCACTGCCGCCGCCACAGGAGGTTCCCCCCACCACCACCAACACAGCGCAAGCCCGCGCACCAACTACAACACCCTCCGCAAAACCCTGCGCCTCGTCGTCGAGGAAGTCAGCGAAAAGGACCCCAACGACATCGCCTACGTCTACAGCGGCTTCGCCCCGCTGAGCATCCGCCTGGTGCAGTGCGTCCTGCAGAAACCCTACATCCTCTCCCTGGCCCGCGGTGGGCCCGTGGCCGCCCCAACCCAGACCCCGGCCCCCGCCAGCGCGACCACCTCCTCGCCGGGCTGGCTGGGCTTCGAGGACGTGGTCAAGGGCGCCCGCGGCGCGACGTTCAGCCTCGTGCAGAAGGGCGACGACAAGGCCGTTCGCGCCCGCCAGACCATCAGCGGCGCCCCGGCCATCAAGACGGTCTATGTCTTCTTCCTGGGCGGCATCACGTTCACCGAGATCGCCGCCCTGCGGTTCATCGCCGCCCAGGAGGCGTCCCGGCGCCGGATCGTCATCTGCTCGACGGGCATTGTGAATGGGGATCGCATGATGGAGGCGGCGATTGAGACGGGGCGCCTGGCGTGATGAGGGATGATCTCAGAGGAGAATTGAGTAAAAGGTGACGGTTGTGGAATTCACATGACAGGATAGGATAGGATAGGATAATATACTTCACCCACTCGTTCATTCTCCTATTGTTCCTCCTTAATCTACAGTGTATCATTCTCCCTGCGAAGTCAGCCTGATGATCCCTGGCAAGCTAAGTATCATTACTTTCCACCAATCTTGTCCGCCGCAGGACCGTATATTCTTCGCCAGAGACGTGCGATGTCCGGACTAGACAAAGGGTAAACTCCCACATTCGGAGCAGGAGAAGTAGGAAAGAGATCGATACAGCCCGATGGTTCCACATCAAAAAGAAGACATTACGTAGAAGGCTAAGCCAGAGAGTTCCCAGGTTCCAAGTACTACACTTCCGACCACTGAACTTGAACGTTGAAAAATGTGATTTCTCCCACATAAAGAATCGATAAAAAACAGAAGAAAAAACACGCCAAATCCAGCCTCGGCAAAACACCGTAATAGTGAACAGGTCCCCAGTGTGATATGATTGATGCTGACAGGTGAAATGATGGAAATGATGATGAAAAAGTAGCCCAGTAATACGTAGCTAGTACCAGATTGTTTACATACATGAACCACGATGAAAGAAAAAAAAAAGAAAGGGTTGAGATTTGACGGGGAGAGGGGAATCAAATCAAACGATAATGGACAATTCGGAGCGATCCAAGCCGTCATCTTCGAGGTTGGGGTAGTATGGGATCATTGCATCTGCGCTCTGCACATACGCGTCGTTGTAGAGGCGCCAGTAGGGGACGCGGACCTTGCGGGCGGGGTGGAACAGGCCGGCCCAGACGTAGTTCATGACGGTTCCCGTGCCGACGGCCATGCGGATGGCGTCGATGGCCTCGATGACCCGGTCGATGACATGCGGGCTGGTCTCGAAGATGTTGGGGAAGACCAGGTTCAGGAGGTGGACCATGGCGTCTTCGCATCCGAGGCCCACGACGCCCAGCGCGATGTGCTTCACCACGCTGGCGGCCGTCTGACGGTGCACCTGGTCGCGGTCGATCAGGGCGTCCTCGAGGAGCGGCGTGACTGCGTAGACGTAGTCCTTGGCCATCTCGCCGATGTATTCGAACAGGAAGGACATAGCCTTGAGGACACCGTTCTGCACGTTCAGCTCGGGCACCCGGTACTCGTTCATCAGGGCCGGGAGCACGGTGAACGGCGCGCAGGTTTCGGCCACGATACCGATGGCAACAGCGGTACAGACACGTGATTGACGTTCCTGGACACGCAGGTTGTTGAGCAACGTGGCCAGCACATCCTGGGGACCAATGGCCTTGGCGATGAAACCGAACGTGTTATTGGCGGCACGACGGATGCCCTTCTTGTGGGCCTTCAACATGTCCAGGAGCTCGAAACAGATACGCATCCACTCCCTGGCGTTGACGGATTCCGGGCCACGGTCGGCGATACGACCAACCAGATCGATGGTATTCTCCTGGACCTTTTCGTGACGGTTACGCAGGATAGGCGTGAGGCGAGGGAGCAGGTCTCTGATCGGCGGTTGCATCTGATTGATACCAACCACGGTGACGATAGATCGGAGGGCTCCCAGGATGGAACCGAGCACTTCGGGATACTCCTCACCTAAGTACTCGTAAAGCACGATACCAAGCTTGCCCATCAACGCGTCCTCACCACACTGCTTCATGACCATGGCAATGCGGGAGATAAGGTCCGCAGCCTGCTGCCGAACCGTGGCCGACTTGTTGTTCAACCGCCAGAGAATGGTACTGACAATCTGGGGAAGATAAGGCTTGCAACGAGTGCCAAGGGCGTTGACCACCGTACCGAAGCCGTTCAAGATGACAATATCCTCAATGCTTTGCTCCTGGAAAGCATACAGGACACCATCAATCAGTCTTTCCTCCAGTCTCTCGGAGATATCCGCGGCGCCGAGGGCTGCGATAAGCTTCTCCACGGTCTCCACAGTCATCTTCCGGTAGGGTTCACTCTCATCCTTGAGATTGTTTACGACGCGCTCGAGGATCTCACCCACTCCCACCTTCTGTCCAAGGTCCACCGTCGTGTCCACCACCTGACGATAATTCCTCCTATCCAAAGCCATACGCCTCACCCAGAAACTTTTGAAAAAGTCTGTGAGAACATGCTCTTTGAGGTAACTGGCTGTCAC